TCGTTTTAATTCTGATCCTGCAGGCAGACTGTTTCCGATTGTGGATTACATGGTAGTAAACACTTTCACTTCGTGGAACTTTATATAATTCCGGACGGAGTCAAACCCGCGTCTACCATCACGTGGGGACAAAATCGAACCAATGTTTACCAATGCATGGGGACATACGGAGTCGAACCCGCGTCTACCATCACTTGGGGACGAAATCGAACCAACGTTCACCAATCACCGGGACAAATCCGCGTCTACCATTACACGGGTACGAAATCGAACCAATGCTCACCAATACACGGGGACAAACGGAGTCGAACCCGCGTCTACCATCACACGGATACGAAATCGAACCAATGCTCACCAATACACGGGGACATACGGAGTCGAACCAGCGTCTACCATAATACATTTTACAGGGATTCAGTTGTTACCAAAGTCCCAGGTCGAATAAGGTCCGAGAAGAAACATCCACCAACTCCTTTCTCTAGTATTTTTAAAATTTTACTCGCACAATTACGTCCGGCATGTACGTAACACATTACCGCCACTATAAAAATATGCAGAATGGACACAAGGGAAGTATGTGTAACTGGTTTGGCATGATCAGTATTTACAGTGTAAATATGCTCTGTCATATCACTCTATAAACCTATCAAAATCAGTTGTTGTGCATGACCAAAAAGCTAAATGGTGTTCATGACGTCATAATCGTAGCGTTGGAGACGGCTGGTCGATACTGGCCGTTGGCTGTTCCACCTATTGAAAATCAACCTATTAAATCATAAAAATGTAAAATTATGTATTGTACTGCAATCTGTTCAGAGGTTTTGTCCTATTAATTTTGAACCGGATTGTGGAAAATATTCAAAACGCATTATTGCATGTTGTTCAATTAGTCTGTTATGCTGTTCAGTATTATATGATTTATAAAAATCTGAACAGAACTCGGTCAAATGCTGAAATAAAATGACTATTTCGCGAATGCTTAAACTGTAGCTGTTTTACATGTATTACACCAATGCCAGATTCATCTTTGGACTGTTTCTCTGTGTTTACTTTCCCGAAGCCAAACACCTATTAAGTGCTTCAAAACATAATCGGGATATAGACCTGTGCTATATCCCCGGGGCATAGCATCTATCCGTCTATTAAGGAATAGAAAAAAAGAATCATAAACACTAGTTTCACATATATTTTCGTTCTGTATGTTTGGATCCAAAAACGAAAATGATATTATTTTTTGCATAACACAGGTGACCTTATCATTGCATATTGATACACTACAGTGACGTAGCACGGGCCGTAACGGGTTCACGTCCGCCGTGAAACAGCCCTCGGTGTAGTTTTGTATTGCAAATATGAATTAACATTAAACATGATTGGCCTGATTTTATATCTCAGATAAGGTGTGTAAGATGATAATAAAATGCTACTATATTTGGTTTGTTTTATTGCCATTCTGTTGCTAGGACCCCAGGTTTGTTTTATTGTCATTCTGTTGCTAGGACCCCAGGTTTGTTTTATTGTCATTCTGTTGCTAGGACCCCAGGTTTGTTTTATTGTCATTCTGTTGCTAGGACCCCAGGTTTGTTTTATTGTCATTCTGTTGCTAGGACCCCAGGTTTGTTTTATTGTCATTCTGTTGCTAGGACCCCAGGTTTGTTTTATTGTCATTCTGTTGCTAGGACCCCCGAGAAAGTTTACATTTTCCCTCAAAAATACGCTATTCTCTCTGCTTTGTTGCTGCTATGTATAAATATACTTCTTTTTATTTATGCTTGCATCGGAAATTAGAAGCACTTACAAATGTTAAGAAAAAAGTTGAATAACATGATTTATGGAATATGTCAAGAAAGCCAATGTTGTTATGACCTGATGAAATATATCTCTTAATAATGTGTGATACATATCTTTTCCGTTTATTTCTGAAAATGACGATAGTATTTAAGTGAAAAATAATCAGATCCAATTTGGTTTTAATGAAACTCACAAAACTGAAGCTTTGTAAGCGCTTTACAAAAGTCTTAAATTAAAGCATTTGAAATAGTAAGTTCGTAAAAGGGACAATTTTCTTGACATTCTAGAAATCCTACAAGTTACCTCTTTTGCAGTGTTAACTCCAAATAAGGAATTGTTCAAATGTGTATTCAATTGAATATTCCAATGAATTCAAAGATGAACAAAAACAAAGATGAGACCCTTGGATTTCCTTCCTTTCCTTTAAACACCTGGTGAACCATAGCTTTTCGGTATTATTTTTTCCAGGGTGCGATATTATCTTATTTTAATAACCTTTTTTTAATTGGCAACATTTAGCTTTATAGATGACAATTTTATCAGTTATGATAATAAATTGGTGCGACGTATTGTTAAACGCGCACTAACATGCGGGCCAACGAGAGTGATAAATATAAGTTTGAAATAACTTGTTTCATAATTGTTGTAAACTAAATAAAGTTTAAGTTTAAGTTTATTGTTAAATGATCAAACATGACTTTAGTCGTAAGGTTATTAGATTTTATTTGGATATAGACGTTTCCACAATTTCACTACTATGCTTTACAACAATTTACAGACGGTAAGACCGTACGCGAGGAAGCAGATATCTTTTCTTCACAAAGTCCCTGCAGGTAGGGCGAAAGAATTGTACCTGTTGCCCCCATTGCATGATCGTTAAAGGCGACTAAATTTGGGATCTTATCTTTCCTCTTCTTTCTAAACAACTTTCTTCTTCCTAATGTTCCCCTTGACAATGCCTCACTTTTGGCCTTTAGTTGAGCGTTCGCCCCGGTGAGGCAGGCTTTGGGTTCTGTCCCCCGGCCGAGACAGCTCGATGGTGGGATCGAATATATTTGCCGTTCTTCTCCTGTTGTTGCGTATATTTCTCCTCGTTATGTCAAACATTCGCTTCATGTCGTGGAATGTAACTGGCATAAGTGCTTGATGAGCTGTTCACGACATTTTCCCTGTATGTATCTGTAATTGTCATGAGGGATTTCAATGCCCGCTTACAAGGCTCGCGTATTCCCGGTTATTAAGACCAACGCGGCAGGCTTCTTCAAAATTGCCTTGACCGTGTCCAGTTGTTTGCGCTGTCAACCTGTAGTCTCTGCATGCCGAGGATAGTCCATCTTCCCTAATAGATCATATTATAATCAACGTTGGACCTCGTGAGTGAATGTTTCATTTTGGATGGTGATTATCTTGACGTCTCAAACCATAGGCCGTTGTATGTGAACTCGTTTTCCTTGATTCGATTCCTGGTGAAAATTATCGTGATAAACACAAACGCATTTCGTTGAAGTGGATCGCTGCGAGAGCTTCCAAAAATGTTTACAACTACCGGGATGATCTTGTTGTACGTATCAACTTCACATTTATGTGTCAAATTTACCGGTTCTCAAATGAAATAAAAAGTACAGCATCGTATCTCGATATAATGCATAAAATAATATTAAAGATTTGTGGTGTACAAGAAGCGGAGATTGGTGTGTCACTTACGTAAAAAATGACATAGCACAAAAGCGTATGAAAACACTAACATGTTTAGAGTTTAAGATTGTCGAACTTTTTTATTCTGCAATGTTTTGTTACATATTTGAGTTAATAATTTGCAGCAGATCCTACTTTAACCAATATAATATTATTTGACAGCGGAAAACATTGTTTGATAGTTATTTGGACACAAAAAAGTGAACCTTGTCGTACACCTTTGGAGGGCGGCACTAAATAGGGCATAGCACCGTTTTAATTAACAACATAACCATGGGTCGTGCCTTAGGGAGATACACATATAACCAAGTTATGGTTAAATTGCTTTGTGGGAAAATATCTTTTGTTCCTATAATAAGGCCTTTTAAACTGTTCACTGATGTAAGTACACCTTGAAAATCCCAGAAAGAACATCCTACTCTAGGTAGGGGAGCATCGACAAGAATTTGTTTTTTCGACAAGATTTTTTTGCAAATTGTTAATTGATATTTGCAGAGCAAATTATTTCAACATATTCATATCAACACACTCTGATTTCTAACGCTCAACGGTTTATTCGATCTATGAACACAAATCAGGAATAAGTAATCCTTTGTTTTGGTAATTTTATTTCCTTAAACATGCTGAATGTTGCAAGCGTATCACATAGAGAGACAGAGATAGTGCGATAGATATTAAACTCAGAGTACTACTAAAATCAGAACGCGCACAGTGCGACACCAGATTTGATTAGAAGTCTGATAAACTGAAAAACTGTATCGCCATGAGTGATTCGCGGTATAAACATTCACTGGATGATAAAAACAAAAGATACCAAATATATTTTATCTCATAGGGTGGATGGGTGGTGCTGTAGATAGCGCACTAACTTTCCACCAAGGCGGTCGGTGTGAAAAGGTATGGGGTCACTGTAGCATCTAACGTGCTTCATATGTTTGGATGACTTGCCCATCCCCGGATTGAACCTGATTCGTTCTTGTACATATTAGATCCAGTCAACACATGTGTTCCATTACACTCAACATATTTTATTAACTTCACATTGGAGAGTTCCACATATAACAGATGGCGAGTATGGATGAGTTATGTCCCTTTACCTGACTGAATATATACAATAGACAGATACCACATTCCGTCTTCTTTTTCTTTTTCTTAAAGAATTAATCATCTCAAATGAAATATTTATAGAAAATTAACCTTTCTCTTTCTTTAAACTTATCAATTATAATAATATGAAATGTTCTACAGTAATTAATACAATGCTAATTAATCATAAGTACTTCCAAACTGTTCCTGGCATGAACTGTACTAAATTGTGTTCAATGCTCACTACTCAACTGTTCAAGTGTTCAATGTTCAAGTGTTCAAGTGTTCAACGTTCAACTGTTCAATGTTCAACTTTAAACTAAAAATCACACCCAGTGTTTACTGGTAATTAAACAAACTTTTCTGATCAAAACTTGACTAAATAAACATATAAAGCACTTTGTTCGATATACTTTTGTGATCCAAGTCTATGTCATGACAAAATCGCGAAATTTCACTGGTTGTTTAACTTCTCGCGTTGGCCTATGTTGTCGCATAGGAAAAGTTTGTTGGCGCGATTCGCATGTAGGGGTCTGTACCTTTTCCTCCCTCGACTTCGGATCAATCTTATCCTCATCATCTAGACCACAATCAGTATTCTCAATTTCATTGGATATTTCCAAGTTAGGGACTTCAGAATTTGACACAGTTTTGTATGACACATTTTCATTGGTTCTATCACTGTTTCTAGACACAGTAGATTCTGGCCTAATGAACTTTTTCAGATGTGTTACATTTCTGTATTTCTGGACTCCATCTGATTCTACCAAAACACTATTACCATGTTTCCTAAGTACTTGTAATGGTTTTGGATTGAAGTTTGTCGACATTTTGTCTACATGTTTTTGTTTCATCAATACAAGGTCACCTGGGTTCAAAACAGATTCTGTAGCATTTCTCCTTTCATCCGCGTACAGTTTTCCTTTTTCTTTCCGTTCACGGTCGCGATCTCTGATTTCAACATCTCCGGTACTTGTGTAATCCTGAAGATTTGGTAACTTTGTTCGAATTTCGCGTCCAAACAACAGCTGAGCTGGACTCACTCCTGTGGTTGAATGGGGTGTAGACCTGTACATGATCAAATAGGTTTGTAACTCTGTTTTCCAATCCTTCTGTTCCTGTTGTGCAATTTTGAGTCTCTTCAACAGGGATCGATTTTGTCTTTCAATTTCACCATTGGCTTGAGGCCATAGTGGTGTGGTACGTTTATGAATTATACCATATTCTTGTAAAAATTGCTTGAATTCTTCACTGATAAATTGTGGACCGTTGTCTGTACGGATTGAAGTTGGAATCCCATGAGTGGCAAATGTAGTTTTCAGACTTGCGATGACTTTGTCAGTAGTAGTCGACTTCATCACAGTGACCTCGACCCACCTTGAGTAGTAATCAACTAAGGTAAATAAACTGTCACCACTTGGGAGAGGTCCCAAAAAATCCACAGCCAAATCCTGCCAAGGACCTGAGGGTAGCTCGGTCCTAACCATAGGTTCAGGGTTTGATGGTTTAGCCATCAACTGACATCCATAACATGACTGACAATGTTTTTCAATGTGTATGTCCATTTTAGGCCACCATACCTTTGATCGTATTCGTTGTTTCATGGCAACTATGCCCGGGTGTCCTTCATGACCTACGTTCAGTACACTTTCACGCAGCGACTTGGGAATCACAATCCGCGTCCCACGTAACACAAGTTTTCCTATAGCACACAGTTCAGACCTTACAGGTAGATACTCTTTGTAGGGAATCTCTGACCACTTGCCGTTTACAATACAGTTTCTAACAGCTTCTAGTTCCGGGTCATTATCCGAGGCGCGTTCGATTTCGCGTGTTGTCATAGCAACTGGAGTTGAGTACTCTGCAATTTGCTTGATGTAGGTCTCAGTATCATGATGTGATGGTCCATCAGAAGACTTTGAAATCAATCTAGACAAACAATCTGCGATGTTTTGAGATCCAGGTATATACTTGACAGTATAGGTATAGGACTGTAGCCGCAAAATCCAGCGTTCTACACGAGCACAGGGTTTGGATTTCTGTGAGAAAATGAACTGTAGAGGTTTGTGATCTGTAACAAGTTCAAATTCCTGTCCATATAGGTACATATGGAACCTTTCGCATGCCCAGACCAGTCCTAAGGCCTCCTTCTCGGTTTGTGAATATTTCCGCTCAATGTCTGTCAAACTACGGCTCGCGTAACAAATTACACGTGTGTGATTGTCCTGCTCCTGTACTAGCACTCCTCCTAATCCCACAGGTGACGCGTCAGCGATAACCTGCGTCTTGGCTTTTGGGTCAAAATATCCCAAAACACATGCATTTGACAACATCGCCTTAAGTTTCTTAAAAGACTGTTCCTGAGTTGGACCCCAATTAAATGGTGCATCCTTTCGGGTTAACTGTCGTAAGGGTTCAGATACAGTTGCCAGGTTGGGTAAGAATCTGGAGCTAAAATTGACTAGGCCTAGGAAACTTCTTACTTCTCCAGCATTTGAAGGTTGTCTCGCGTTCACGACCGCTTTGACTTTGTCCTCGTCGAGACTGATTCCATGCTCTGAAAGTACATGTCCCATGAATGTAATCTGTGACATATTAAATTGACATTTGTCCAAATTCAATGTCAAGCCCTTCTCACGTAAGGTTTGTAACAGTTTGTCCAAGTTTTTGTTGTGCTCACCCTGTGTTTCTCCGTGAACAACAATGTCGTCAAATATACTGTTGACACCTGGACACTCTCTCAGAACCTGTTGTATGATTTTGTTGTAGAGCTCAGGGGCACAGCTGATCCCGAACATTAGTCGTTTATACCGATACATGCCTAAGTGAGTTTGGAATGTTGTAATACCACGTGACTCTGGGGCTAGCTCAATCTGGTGATACGCCCAGCGAATATCAAGTTTTGAAAAAACCTTGCTCTGATTCAGGTCCTGTAGTATTTCATCTACAGTTGGTATCGGATACCGTTCACGAATTACAGCTTCATTGGCCCTTCGCATGTCAACACAAAGTCTAATATCCCCGTTTGACTTGGGAATAATAACAACTGGACTTACCCATGCACTGGGTTCCTCGACTTTCTCAATAATGTCTAATGACTCCAGCTCGTGTATTTTGCTCTCAAGTCGGTCACGTAAATGGTAGGGTATACGCCGCAATGGTTGAATAACTGGCGTAACTGTGTCGTCCAGTGCTATAGTCATTTGATAGTCTTTCAATTTCCCAATTCCTGTGAAACATTCAGGGTATTTCTTCATAAGTTCAGCCTTACTGATATCATGTTCAACGGAATTAATGTGCCCAGTACCCACATGTAGAACTCCTAATTCTATAGCAGTCATCTTGCCTAGTAGTGGTTGGCCTGTTCCCTCCAAAACATAAAACATCACCCTAGGTACCATCTTGTTTCCAAGTATGACATCAGCCTCAAAACATCCTGCTAAAGGCAGTGGCTTGGTACTTCCATAAGCAAACAATTTCTTGTCAGTATTGTTACTTACACAGTTTATCTTTGACTTTTTCAGACTTTCCCAGAGTTCTCGGTCTATCATATTAACACCTGCACCTGAATCAACAGTAAATGATATTGGCACACCTCCAACTATCACACTAACCTGTTCTCCAACTGGTTCTTTAACAACACTAAAAACGTAGTCAGTTAACTCAACCGAATCCTGATCTTGTACATATTTCACCGTACGTTCCTGTGATCGGCCATTCCCTGGATTACCTCCCTTTGTCTTACAACACTTCTGGAAATGTCCCATTTTATGACATTTATTGCATTTCTTATTCCTGGCTGGACATTCCTTATCTTTTGAATAGTGTCCCTGTCTCCCACACCGGAAGCATGCTTGAGATTTGTTACCTTGACTACTTGTATTGAAACGGTCAGCCCCCTGGTAACCTGGTTTGTGTCCTTTCCTTTTCTCATAAACTGCGTGTACAGTTTCTTCCTGCATTACTGCTGCCTGTCTCTCTGCTGCTTCATGCGCTCTACCCATTTCCAGCATTTTTGTGAGGGTCAATGTTCCTCCCTTTTCCAGAAATTTCTTCCGTAGATGTGTCGACTTACACTTGTCGATAACCTGATCACGGATCTGGTCGTCTTTACCATCTCCGAATTCACATGTCATGGCTTTATCGCGTAACCTCGTTATAAATTGTTCAACTGACTCACTAGACTCCTGTTTGAGTTGCCGAAACTGGTGTCTCTCGAATGAAATGTTTCCTTGTGGCGCGAAGTACTCTCCCAGCTTCTGTACAGCCTTGTCGTAATCTGTATCTTCTCCTGTGTCCGCGAGTGTGTCAAATATTTCCTGCACTCTCATCCCGGCACAATGGAGTAACAACGCCCTTTTCTGTGTAAGATCTGTTATACCCTTGCCCACAACAAACAGTTCGAATGCCCTTTTCCACTTTCTCCATCGTTGAGAAATGGCGGACGAATCTCCGTGGCAATCAAAATTTGGAATACCTCCAATTTCCATGTATGTCGCCATTTTAACCAATTAAATGTATACAGTTTTTATCCTCGTCGCCAATTGTAGCATCTAACGTGCTTCATATGTTTGGATGACTTGCCCATCCCCGGATTGAACCTGATTCGTTCTTGTACATATTAGATCCAGTCAACACATGTGTTCCATTACACTCAACATATTTTATTAACTTCACATTGGAGAGTTCCACATATAACAGATGGCGAGTATGGATGAGTTATGTCCCTTTACCTGACTGAATATATACAATAGACAGATACCACAGTCCCCTGCCCGACCACTTGGGGTTTCATCCGGGTACTCCGGTTTCTTTCAACAATAAGATCCCAGCGCGCTGACATCCTGACCAACAATTACTTGTTTCATAATTGTTGTAAAATGAATAAAGTTTATATTTTATTAACCAAACCTATTCCATTGGTAATATTTGAACTATCTGTAAAGATCGGACTATCACCGATCGTCATGATCCTTGAACATATAAATAGCTTTGACTTTTCTGAATCACGTCTCTTTAAGTACAAAAATACTCGAAACAAGTTTTTGTCGCGCAAATTACGTAAAGGATATAAGCCTCAAACTGTCTATTATGTAAAATATTGGACAGTCTGAGGCGCGTAGCATGATTTGTATGCAACTGCATATACCAGGTATGAAATACACGCAGGTATAGTACTTATCTCATTCCAATCATGAGTTCCGATAGTGAAGGAGTATTTTTAACACAGTCAACATTTACAACAGAAAATACTGTTGTAGATACAGATGAGATATTAAGTGATGTCCTGGATTTACAGAAGGAAAATATTACACCTCGGCCAAATTTCAACATTTTAAGTGAGATGTTCTCAGACATCTCGGAAGATGAAATGACAGAAATAACTCAAGTTGTTGAAGAAGTTGAAACACGGCGACGATTTGCAATTCCCATGCAGGATGGTGATTTGAAAAAAAATGTTGCTGGAGAATCATGTGTAAACACAGAAAACAAAACGAAATGGGCTTTAAAAGTTTTTGATTCATGGATTGAACAGCGACTGATACAATCCAAAAACAATGAAAAGCTGAAAAACTTTCCTAACAACTTACTGGATTTACCTGTCTCCGATATTAATGAGGCTCTGACTTATTTTGTAGCTGAAGTTCGAAATAAGAATGGTGAGGAGTACAGACCAAACACACTGTATGAATTAATTATATCTATACAACATTATTTTCGGCAAAATGGACGTTTTGTGAATATTTTGGATGATACAGAGTTTGCAGGACTGAGAGGGGTACTAGACGCCAGGATGAAAAACCTCGCAAAACAAGGTTTGGGAATAAACAAAAAGCAGGCAGAAATTATAACGGAAGAACAAGAGCAGTTGATGTGGGAGAAAGGTGTCTTGGGGACAGACACACCAGAAAAACTTTTAAACACATTAGTGTATCAACTGGGTTTGAATTTTGCATTGAGAGCAGGCCAAGAACATAGGAATCTTAGATGTGGACCTTATAGTCAAATTACAGTGAAACAGGATTCTGATGGCAAAACATATTTGAAATACAGAGAAGATGTATCAAAAACGAATGCCGGAGGACTTCTCCATCGTAAGGTGACACCAAAAGTTACAAGGGCCTATGAAAACACAGTACTTCCAGACCAATGTCCTGTGAAGATATACCAGAAATTCATGAGCCTAAGGTAAATACAGAAGTTATATAATATAATCATACCGTATTAAGATGTATTGTTATTGCGCAACGCTTATCATAAAATCCAGTGGCTAAATATAACAGCACATTTATTAAAATTAAAATTTGAAAAAAAAAATATATATATATGTGTCCAGAATTTCGAAACATTTTTTTTTTTGACCTAATTATGTTGGAAAATAGAACTTTACCTTTTTAAAACAAAATTTCAATTTTCCTTTTCATTCTAACTGTTAAGGTTTACAATTTAAAAATCTTCCAGACCAAAAACCGGAAAATGCAGTGCATTGTACCTAAGGCCAAAGAAGACCCCCCAGCCCGGACTGTTGGTACTGTGATTCTCCACTGGGTGTACATATCTTGCAGCAGACAGTGGGGAAGTTGTGTGAGGAGGCTGGATTTAAAGGATATTTCACTAACCATTCCCTACGAGCGACTGCTGCGACACGCCTCTATAAGGCAGGATTCGACGAACAATTAGTGGCAGAAAAAAACTGGACATCGGTCAGCGGCCATTCGTTCATATAAGCGTACATGTGATGCGCAGCTGGCAAATGTTAGCAGTGTTGTGCAAGGTATTGAAAATATGGCATCACCAGTGAAAAAAATAAAACTTGCTGACTCCAGTAATACTAATACTAATAATAGGGAGTTATCTGTTAGCGCGGGTGAGGTGTCATTTACCCTAAGATTCTAAAAGGGAGTACATTGTATCTGTAACAGTGGATTTACCTGTATATATCCAGTGGATTGATCACCCTTGTGTCAATTTTGTATTGTTTCAATAATGCAATTAAATTTTGATGGATATATTGTCATGCTCCAGTTTCTATGTTCTACTTAAACTGGTCCAAAAACATGTCCGTTATTTTTAACAAACTGTACAATATTAAAATATTGGACAGTTTTATGATCTTATTGGACAGTTTTTGTAACATATTGGACAGTTATGCATATAACAGTACTCATATTCTATATAATGGACAATTATAACAATGGATGGCATCACAAGAATGTTTTAAACTGTGTTACAAGACCTCTTCCACTGTGTTCTAAATCAACTTTTAACAAGACATTAAACCCATCCTACCTTTTCGTTATAAGTAAGCTTGATCAGGAATATAATCAGAATAGGCCGTATTTGTGATCTATTATAATGACATGGTAGGAAACACTCTATTTAGACATAATGTTTTATACTCTTCGAATTCCCTGATAAACGACAGTTTAGGTCAGTCAGCTTTTAATACTAGTCCTAGATATCGACCGGGATCTGTCTTTCAATCTTCATTAGTTTTATAGTACCTGAGGTAAAACATGAATCAGCGATATTTCCTGGAATTTAACAAAAAAGATAAACATGAGATATAAGCACGGTAAAATATCCCTGCAGTTTTTGTATCGATCTCATATATGGCTGGATGCCTCATTAAGAGAATGAGACATGTTTCTGTGTACCTGCCTGTCGTTGATGGATAGTGATAGAACTTAGCAGTAGATTATAGTATGTTCTCCACTTGTTTATAACCGGAAGAAGGATGTTAAGAACCATCAATCATTCATTAGAAACCATAAGACATACTTAAAGTGTTTAAAAAATGATTATATATTCATGCATTCATTCATTCATTCATTCATTCGTTTAGAATATGAATATTCATTCATTCATTCGTTCATTCATACATCATTTCATTCATTCATTCATTCATTCATTCATTCATTCATTTAAAATAAGAATATTCATTCATTCATTCGTTCATTCATACATCATATCATTCATTCATTCGTTCATTCATACATCATATCATTCATTCATTCATTCATTCATTTCATTCATTCATTCATTCATTCATTCATTCATTTAAAATATGAATATTCATTCATTCATTCATTGATTTAGAATATGAACATTCATTCATTCATTCATTCATTTACAATATGAGTATTCATTTATTCATTCATTCATTCATACATCACTCCATTCATTCATTCATTCATTCATTCATTCATTCATTCATTCATTTAGAATATGATTATGCATTCACTCATTCATTCCTTCATTTAGAATATGAATATTCATTCATTCATTCATTCATAATATGAATATTCATTCATTCATTCATTCATTCTTTCATACATCATTTCATTCAGTCATTCATTCGTTCATTCATTCATTCATTTAGAATATGAATATTCATTCATTCTGTCATTCATTTAGAATATGAATAATCATTCATTCATTCATTCATTCATTATCATTTCATTCATTCATTCATTTATTCATTCATTCATCCATTCATTCATTCATTTATACATTAATTCGCTTAGAATATGAATATTCATTCATTCATTCATTCATACATCATTCCATTCATTCATTAATTAATTCATTCATTTAGAATATGAATATTCATTCATTTATTCATTCATTCATTCATTATTTTATAAATTCATTTAGAATATGAATATTCATTCATTCATTCATACATCATTCCATTCATTCATTCATTAACTCATTCATTCATTCATTCATTTAGAATATGAATATTCATTCATTCATTCATCCATTCATTCATTCATTTATTCATCCATTCAGTCATTCATTTAGAATATGAATATTCATTCATTCATTCATCCATTCATTCATTCATTTATTCATCCATTCAGTCATTCATTCACTATGTATTCATTCATTCATTTTTCATACATTCATTCTTCATACATTCATTTGTTCATTCATTCATTTATTGATTTTTAAGTCTTTTTATCATTTCACATTTTGATTGTGTTTATTTTTATATATTATTAGAAAATATTTAAAAAAAAATCCCCTTTTTAATAGAATAGATATTTGTTTCCAGACCATGATATATATATATATATATATATATGTGTGTGTGTTTTTTGTAACTTGTCCTCATTTTCTCTCTTCCTCACTTTAACTTGCATCTTAAAACTTTCCATCTTTTACATGTAGTGTAAACAGTATTTTATTCAACAGTTATGCAATGTTATAAAATGTGTTTGAATCGTGTGTTTAGGTAAGGTCAACCCACCGTTATATGAGTGTACCATCACACAGATTCTTCAAAAAATGAATCTAATTTGTTCTACAATTTTGTACCAAATCTTCGTAAATGATGTCATGCTTCATGTTTATTCCAATCCGAGCTACGGATTTTTTTTTTAATTAAAACACCGTGAGAAAATGTCAATGTGTGTACTGACAGTTGATGGCGATATAAGTGAAGCGAACACGTGTCTAGGGAGACATCAGCTGTGAGTTATCGCTTAACGTTTTAAATCGTCACAACACTGGGGGAAGTTTAAAGTACATCTCTGTTGTATGAATTTAAAAATGAACTACTGTCTCTTTCGTGTTCATGGAAATCTGTCGAATAAAATAAAGCTACCTTTTCAATATTTAGATACTTTTTTTTCGTATTTTTTTTAACATCTTAATATAAATAGTTTTTGAAAGTTGTTAAAAAAAAATCACACGGCTGTTATGTCCTTGTAGAACTCACACACTAGTTACACTGGATCACAGGGCTGTTAGGTCCTTGTAGAACTCACACACTAGTTACACTGGATCACACGGCTGTTAGGTCCCTGTAGAACTCACTCACTAGTTACACTGGATCACACGGCTGTTAGGTCCTTGTAGAACTTAGACACTAGTTACACTGGATCACACGGCTGTTAGGTCCTTGTAGAACTCACGCACTAGTTACACGGGACCACACGGATGTTAGGTCCTTGTAGAACTCACACACTAGTTACACTGGATCACACGGCTGTTAGGTCCTTGTATAACTCACACACTAGTTACACTGGATCACACAGCTGTTAGGTCCTTGTAGAACTCACAAATTGGTTACACTGGATCACAAGGCTGTTAGGTCCTTGTATAACTCGCACACTAGTTACACTGGATCACACGGCTGTTAGGTCCTTGTAGAACTCACGCACTAGTTACACTGGATCACACGGATGTTAGGTCCTTGTAGAACTCACACACTAGTTACACTGGATCACACGGATGTTAGGTCCTAGTAGAACTCACACACTAGTTACACTGGATCATACGGCTGTTAGGTCCCTGTATAACTCACACACTAGTAACACTGGATCACACGGCTGTTAGGTCCTTGTAGAACTCACACACTAGTTACACTGGATCATACGGCTGTTAGGTCCCTGTATAACTCACACACTAGTAACACTGGATCACACGGCTGTTAGGTCCTTGTAGAACTCACACTCTAGTTACACTGGATCACAAGGCTGTTAGGTCCTTGCAGAACTTAGATACTAGTTACACTGGATCACACGGCTGTTAGATCCTTGTAGAACTCGCACACTAGTTACACTGGATCACACGGCTGTTAGGTCCTTGTAGAACCCACACACTAGTTACACTGGATCACACGGCTGTTAGATCCTTGTAGAACTCGCACACTAGTTACACTGGATCACACGGCTGTTAGGTCCTTGTATAACTCACACACTAGTTACACTGGATCACACGGCTGTTAGGTCCCTGTACAACTCACCGGTGAGGGTAAAGGGCTAGAAAGTGGGAAATCCAAATAAATGACATGTGTGTTAATCTCCTTAACTTTCTTTTCATTTATCTAGTTTTGTCAATAATGTCAAAGAATCCATATTTATGTTTCATGTCGGTTCAGTATAAGGGTGTCAGAGGTTCTGTATAAGGGTGCCAGAGGTTCTGTATAAGGGTGCCAGAGGTTCTGTATAAGGGTGCCAGAGGTTCAGTATAAGGGTGCCAGAGGTTCTGTATAAAGGTGCCAGAGGATTTTAATGAATTATAATTGATAATAGAACATAGTATTCAGGAAAATCGCTACCAAGCGAGAGAATGAGAGAGCATTGCGTCGTCCATGCTACAGAGTCTGTGGGAGTGACATTGCCTGTTTATCTAAATCTGTTGTGGCTGTAAAATTAACATTATTGCTGAAGTTGATACCATATAAAACAACAAAAATCTGTAATTCAGCGATCACAAAAACAAACCAGTTTCAAAGGAATATTTTTTTTAATATCATAGTACATTTTGAAGTTAATACTGTGAACTTGATACATAAGTCGTTCGTTTCAGAACATCAAGTGACAATTCCTTAGACGCTTAACGTGTAATCACCCGTTGCTGAATACGTATTTGAACCTGTATTTACTTAATAGCACGTGTTCTCTCCGAACATTAAATAAATTGTTTCATCACTTTTTCGTACGGACACCGTTTTGTCGTATTTCCTTATTCAAATGCCCACTTCATGCATAGTTCATACCTTCCATAAAGCATCGTTTCCGTTGAAATACTTCCTGCTGAGTGACTTAAAAGTGTAAATTGATCTGATAAGGACACATTTTCCTCATTTCCTTTCTTGTAGTACCAGTTTAATTTCTTTCCCTTTGTTGTGACGCGATAGAGATGAACAGACTTCCTATAGTTTTATGTGCGGATCATGTCAGCTAATAGAAATGCTTCGATTTTCATTCCATTCATAGAAACACTCTTCCGTTTTAACCCATTTCATCCCGAATGCAATTTATTTAACTTTTGTTTACCCATGCATGAGTATTATTATCTAAATGATGGAACTATCTGATGTGCAGCAGGCCAGGTTTACGGCGTTTCACGTCCACGCCATTGACTTGCGATCTTACAACTTTTCACAGTGTGCCAGAGGATCGCATCCTGCTCTGCAAATCACGTAGTTCCATCAGAACTTAACCAAAATGTTAAGTTTTAAACTCTAAACTATGAACAATAATTTTAAATTAGTGGAACTATCTGATTTAAAGCAGGCCAAGTTTACGGCGTTTCAAGTCCACGCCAGTGACTTGTGATCTTACAACTTTTCACAGTGTGCCAGAGGATCGCATCCTGCTCTGCAAATCACGTAGTTCCATCAGAACTTCCCCAAAAAGTTAAGTTTTAAACTCTAAACTATGAACAATAATTTTAAATTAGTGGAACTATCTGATTTGCAGCAGGCCAAGTTTACGGCGTTTCAGGTCCACGCCAGTGACTTGTGATCTTACAACTTTTCACAGTGTGCCAGAGGATCGCATCCTGCTGTGCAAATCACGTAGTTCCATCGGAACTTCCCCAAAAAGTTAAGTTTTAAACTCTAAACTACGAACAATAATTTTAAATTAGTGGAACTATCTGATTTGCAGCAGGTCAAGTTTACGGCGTTTCAAGTCCACGCCAGTGACTTGTTATCTTACAACTTTTCACAGTGTGCCAGAGGATTGTCTCATGTTCTGCAAATCACGTATTGCCACCAAACCCGCCCCTAAAATGCTTCCCACCTAATTCATTGCATTCAGGATGAAACGGGTTAATACGTAAAATGATTCGAACTGCTTTTTTATTCTAATCAGTCAGATTGCATCTTTATCCGTCATTTTGTCACGTTTTGTTACAACGCCTGTTCGTCTTCGTTTCTCGCGCTTGATGTGGTTCTGAAGGAAATACTGTGTCTTGATTTCTCTGTTTTTGAGTTTTGTCACAGACGCAGTAAAACGTTGAACTTCATCACCTATCTTCTTGTGACATCTGTTTTACCATCAGAACATCTGTCTTACTATCAGAAATGTCATCGTGTTTCAGTTTCGTTTTTAAAACACCACTTCACATTTCTCTCGTTGTAGTATTAGATTTTCGTAGAGAAAGTCATCGAAGTTATCTCAATTATTTTACTTGTGTTAATAGGGTGTACGTCTTCATTCCATTCTAGTTGTCATGATAGGTTTTTTCTGACAGAACTGTCTCTTTATACCTTTGCTCGTGTCCTCATTTCTTAGCTTCAAAGGGGGCGATCCTCATTTCATTAATCGGATATTTTACCAGTTTATCCAAAATGTCCCCCATTTCGTTCTCATTGTTCTCTTAACATATGCTGCTATTGATGCCTGTATTGTTGGGTCCAACACCGCGTCACTTCCGCTGTTCCCTATACACGACTTCATTGAGTTGGCTTGACGAAGTAGAATCCCCATTGTTTTCTTCCCCATCTCCTGGGTCGACAGTATCCGAACCCGACCTCGTTCTCGTTCTGTCCTGTATAGGTCTGACGGATCACCATGCCTGCAATTGAACAGTTAACATATACTAGTCTTCAACAGGAGCATGTTGTCAACGCTTATTTAGAAGAACACTAAAACAATTATACACATAAAATGCATTCAGTTTTTCTCTTTCGGAATAGTGTCTGTAGACACTGGGTACTAATATAACTGTACTGTTTTACATAAGAATACGTCGATGAGGTTTTCTCATTACTAATTTACGAGTTAATGACAAAAACTTGTGAAATGGTGATGAATGCAACAAGAGAGCGCCGGAGAGCAATTTACGTTTAAAATATGTGAATGACTTTTTCCCTGGGGAATACTACTTTTGTCTCTATGATATTTATGTACTGATTTTTTGTGTTGCTTTGTTATTTTGTCAATTTATGAATCCTCTAAATCAAGCTGCGACGAACAACTATGTCAACAGGCCAATTGTCTCAACCGTAAATACACCATCACACAAAAATCGAAAACAGCTGCATACAATCAAAGTCGTATTACTTTTAACATCAGTTTAAAAATCTTTATAACCACTGATCTAGAAAAAACGTGCTAATGTAATTATTTCTTTTTAAATATAAATTATCACATATCAAAGGTGTGTTAATATATTTTCTGTTTATTAATTGTTTTTTAAACATAATTTCATGAAACGCTTGTTATACTCAGTCATGTTTCTGCGATCAAGCCTTATTTCTTGCTCTGGTAATAGTATAATAAAAATTGAAGTTTTGTCAGTGATTTGGAAGAACTTTGAAGAGACGTCATGTCAATATCGTTCTCACTGTTATCACTTGACCTTTAACCGTACGACATGTTTTAGACCAGTTACAAGAAATTTCGCCTGAGCACAGCATTCATGCTTAAGCATCAGAACGGTATCATGAATATCGACCCAGGTATACACATTGATACACATGAGAATGTCAATAACACAACTGTTAAACTTTACAATAATAGTCTATGTGAAATATATATGTTTCGATACTACTTACCAGGTTTTACATCTATGAACCCAGGAGTCCGTCTGTCAAACTTTGTATTGTTTATTACAGTCTATGTGACATATGTGTGTCTATACTACTTACCAGGTTTTACATCTATGAACCCAGGAGTCCGTCTGTCCGCGTCCCTTTTAACCCTTACTTTGGCCTCGGTCATTGTACGCTTGCAGATACCTGTCAAAAGAAAACATACAAATGCCAAAGATGTCTTTAGACTGGGTTACCTTCCTTAGTACCTTTTCTCTCCGGTTGGCTGCACAATTTTTGTATTTCAAACAAAAATTAAAAACAAAAACAACGACAGACATTCCAGTCAATATATTTCTGCTGATTGCTTGGAATTGATTTTCACAATAAGCATCACCTCCTCTCGTGTTTAACGTAGCATCACCTTTCCCCCGAAATATTACTGTTCTAATTTTATTGTAGTCTAAATTTAATTAATATTCATTGAAAACAGGGAAAGGATACCCTTTTTGGTTTTGTAAGATTATAGAAAAATCTTTGAAAATGAGGGAGAATTAAGTGACCGACATTGATAAATAACTTTATTCATTTTACAACCTACCCTTGTTAAATTTGTAACTCTCCTCTCCAGTGCAGAAGCCGACCTTACGGCAAAACTTTCCTCCACAAGCTGGATATGAGGTACTTATTTCTCCGGTGGAATTGTCAATCGCAATCTCCTCCACAACGGTAGGGTCGCTACCACTTCCGGCGGACTCGTCGACACTTCCGTTGTAGCTGGATACATCCTCCAAAGTTAGTTCTGCGTTAGCATTGTAATCCTAAAAAAAAAACCAGCAAAATGTAATGTCTTAAAAACGGACTGAATAGTTTGATACTTCCTGTATATAAACCTATATCTTAAATGGTCAACAAAATGAAGGCTTTTTCCTATATCATCTCTTCAAATGCTTCGTGTACGTGAATAACACGGAACGTGAATTTCTATGAAAAAAGTATCTTGGTTTATAGGACTACAAATGAAACTTCGGGATAACTACACAGGTAATAGAACTACCTAATAACCCGACAGGTAAGTCGTCGACAAACTAGTGCCCCTTGTCCATATAGCGTTAAATGTTGTCCATATAGTCGAACCAAAGATGTTGATTGTTGCCCGTATATGTCGAATCAAAGACGTTCAGTGTTGTCCATATATGTCGAACCAAAGACGTAAAGAGTTGTCCATATATGTCGAACCAAACACGTAAAAAGTTGTCCATATATGTCGAAACAAAGGTGTTGAGTAGTGTCCTTATATGTCGAACCAAATACGTTAAATGTTGCCCGTATATGTCGAACCAAAGACGTTTAGTGTTGTCATTATGTGTCGAACCAACGGCGTTTAGTGTTGTGCGTATATGTCGAACCAAAGACGTTGTGTTGTCTGTATATGTCGAACCAAAGACATTTCGTGTTGTACATATATGTCGAACCAAAGACGTTTAGTGTTTTTCCTAAATGTCGAACCAAAGACGTTTAGTTTTTTTCCTATATGTCGAACCAAAGACGTTTAGTGTTGTCCATATATGTCGAACCAAATACGTTAAGTGTTGCCCGTATATGTCGAACCAAAGACATTTAGTGTTGTCCATATATGTCGAACCAAAGACGTTTAGTGTTTTTCCTATATGTCGAACCAAAGACTTTTAGTGTTTTTCCTATATGTCGAACCATAGACGTTTAGTAGTGTCTGTATATGTCGAACCAAAGACGTTTAGTAGTGTCTGTATATGTCGAACAAGAGACGTAAAATGTTGACCCTGTCGTTCTGTATGTTGAACAATAGACGTGAAGTGTACACTTGACGTATTTTTGTCAGTTTTAAACGTTTCTTTTTCAACCAAGCCACACATATACAAGTACAAGATATTGAAATCAGGGTAAAAAATACGTCATATATAATAATACATATAAATGGGATTTGTTTCGCTGTTAATTCCTAAATATTAAACGTTTTCAGCATTTCTCTTAGGAATTAAAGTATTTGTAATGAAGCACATTTATACAGACTTTAAATATTATTTTTAATTTGAAATAGCTAGATTTGTCATAGTATCATCTTAAAACGTATAACACTCATTGATCATAGGATCAGAAGGTACGTGGAGACATTCTCAATGTTGTAATGAAATCACAATGTGTCTGCTGATAGAGTAAAAATACACACTTTATAACTCCAACCAAATTCTATTTGCTCACATAACACGGATGGGTAGGGAAGTAACGTTATATAGATGGTCACGTAAAATCAAAGAGAAACAATTGTTGTAATATGAACGTGATTTACCGGTTGGACGTTGACCCTCATGGCGTAGGTCTCTGAACACAGGCTGACCAGCCGGTCACTCATGTCTCGTAGGTTCAGGTGTTTGACCCACTCGACTGCTTTCATTCTACTGTAGACGGGAAAGGGAGACTTAGTTTATATATATATTCTCTAATCTTAAATTATTTTCATTCCTATAGAAAACTGATGAAAATTCCTAAATATTGCTCTAACAATAGTCAAGTCTTTAACAAATGTCTTAAAGTTATGACGTCACGTTAAAGATTAATATTTGTGACGTCATATCTAAACCACCATTGACTTCACAATCGAAAGAGTACATCACTATAGTAATGACCAAAATACCACACGAGCATTATCACTGCATAGAACATTATGTGACATTTTTATTTTACAATATTAATTCGTTTGCTTGGATTCGTAGAACTTGAAATATCTCGTTTAAATTAATTACATTATGTATGTTAAGGCGTCGGACTACAGAACGTACTGTTTCATCAATACATAATTAAAAGTACAATCCCAATATTTATAATGACTACGACATAAGGTATAACCACCATCTATTTTTATGATAAAACAAGTAATTGCATTGGTTACTGACCACAATGTACCAGCGAAACGTACCGGAAGTGACGTCTCAAAAGACTGACATGAAGTCAAAATGACTTGGATTTGGTGGTATACAAACATGTTATATAGTAAAGATCATTTGTACTTACTTTTCGCGCTCGTTCATCCTGCTGATGACGTCATACAGACAATATTCCATGCCGTACTCAAGGCGGTCGATAATTTTGTCTGTGACGATACACGTGAGGTCGTCACTCACCTGGAGGTACAAAATAGGTACACAATATAATTAGACGTCACTGGAATAAACAAGGCTTCATGGATTATTATATCATATTACATGTACTTCAACGATTAATATTACTTCATTCCACTATAAAGTAAAAATCATTGATCTTTGCTTTAAAATTATAGTATATGCCCTGAATGTATGTTATAAAAGGAGTCAAGGGTTATGACGTCACAGTAAAATACCAATCGGATCTTCACATCAATACGTTATCAATCTGTTCTGCGTTAGCACTGATTTGAATCCAGTTCATGTTATAAAATTCAATAAAATGCAATACTTTGGTACAAACTATGTCATATTATGACGTCATAGCAATCTATGTAAAGTCTACTGCTTTATGACGTCACCAGATAAATTGGCATTTTGTGAGACTTAAATAAGGCATCTACAAGTTCACAAAGCTAACGTGGTAAGGAGGGGATATATAGGTCTGCACAATAACATGGACAGGTGACTTTTTAGTGTGAAACAGACGGTGTGGTCGATTAGATCGTTAGGTACGCGGCTGGAGCGAATGTTGCAGAAGGGGAGGGTTGCTGTGTATTACAGGCGGGAGTATCCGTCTACGGTAGCCTCCACACGTTTTTATTTGATCTTAGAAGTCATATAAATAATTGAGTGATATTTCTTTAAGACATACCTGCAATGGTTCTTAATATGCGTCTAGTTTAATAAGAATTATATACTTATGGAAATCCATGATGCAACAATGACGTCACATTGCCATGGCAAAAATGACGCTAAACTATTTGTAACCCATTACTGTTTCAATTTATCGGTTGTATCATTAGAAAGCAATATTTCAGTTCAAGCAAAAATCGACAGTAGTATTATATCGCTACATATGTTGTGCAAAATAGTTTGTTGTATGGCTGTATCACTACAGTAAGATTCATCAACCACTATTTGCTGAAATAAAACTTATTTCTGTCGTCTCATCAACACTTACGTTTTTAATTTGAGTTCTGACGCTCCTTTCCAGGTCAGCGTTGATGCGATAGGCGGACTTGGCCCTGTTTAACCCTTTCAGTGCACGGTCACGCTTCATCTGTAGGAAATACAGCAGCCTCGTCTTCATCGGGGTGGAACCGTGAAGTTGGTACACAAGTACTGCCAGTTTCTTCTCGTACTTGTCAACCTCCTGTCAACCATCAATATCCATATTTTACAGTAAGCTATGTGTTCGGTTACAATTAAGATTTAACTCATTCTCCCCTGAGATTTCTTAATGAACTTTTCCAACCTTTGGTAGGAGTTCAAATGTGTCTTCAGGGGTGAATAGTTAATACTGATTGTTTTTGTTAAGTACGCAAAGTCGTTTTCAAATAAAACTACGTAAGCCATTATTCATAATTGGCACATTTTTAAAATTACACCATGAAACAAAGTAAACTGAAGTACAAAATAACAGAACAAACATCACTAACGTTAAGTAGTGTTACGGTCATGATGGTGGATATATGTTGTACAAATCAAATTAATTCAAAAGTTTTATTTAACGTCGGTATGGTTAAAACAATACAACATTAGCTCTAATTAGCTGTTAAAAACAACTCATAAAATGACACGCACAGCTACATAATAAATATTTGGCAAGAACATATTAAAAGATGAGCACCATCTAATAGAGAGGCGACATAGAGGTAAGCTTAGCTAAAAACATGTATAACTGTATTGGGAGCCTATGTGTTTTGTCTGCATGTGTTGAATTTGCATTTTGGCCCATACCAGCTGTTTATTAGTGTCTTAAATTGTGTTCGTGTAGTTGTTGTTCTGAAGTGGTCTGGTAGGGCATTCCGTATTTTAGGTGCTTCAGATCGAAATGAGTGTTTACCATACTCTGTAGTCCTAACATGTGGTATATCTGCTGTGTTGTGATATCTGAATGTATGTGGTTTTCTGGGATGTTGATAAGGTCGTGTAGGTATGTTGGAGTCTGTTTATTTGTGATTTTAAATACTTCTATTGCAAAATTTCCGAGTCGTCTGATTTTGATTGATGGTAATTTTGAACGGGCTAGTAAATTTTCATATGTATTTTCGTGTTCATCGTTAATAAATTTTAAAGCCCTTTCTTGGATTTTTTCCTTTTTTTCCATTTTAGATTTTAGATTTTTCATCATGATAGGTATTCTACATAGACTGTCGACGTAGGTTGTTGAGGAGTAAAACTACAATCTAGCTTATCAATAAAATAGGGTAGAACACTGCGCTCCAAAATGTGAATGTTCGTATCTAACTCTAGATTAAGATCTAGATTTGCGAAAGTTTGAAAATTATTGAAGACATTTATTTTGACTGCATAATTTGTCTTCCCGATTTGTAAACTCATAACTTGTAATTCCGATTCAAAACCTCCGAATTCGTCTAAACCTCGATAACCCCAGGTTTAATAATTTAACAAACTCACCCCCAGCCATCGCGTCCACTAGAGATGAAAAAATATGTCATTCCTCTATATTTACATTTACTTTGCACCCTTCCATTGTAATGCATTGCAAATGTAGCAAATGTTGTTATGAGACTATAACAACATTTGCTATTGTAACTTCATTAATCTCTATTGTGACGTCATCAATTTCATTGTTGTCAAACCTTAATTTGCTGTTCAAGAACTTTTCGAAATAACTAAATAAATCCTTATAACTAATGTGAATGTATATGACGGATATTTTACCAAATAATGTTATGGTCCTATAACACACATTTCCATTTCTGACAAACTTTGTCATCAATAGCAATGTGTCTTATAGGACCATAATAACATTTGCTTAAACATTAGCCTCTATCGACATGATTGTATGTGTGACGTCACAATGAACACAATTACATGACGTCATATTAAGGCATGGCCGATGCAGTAAGTGTTTCGACTATTATGGGATGGTAGGTTTACGATTTATAACTTTACTGAAGGCAAGACAAAAACAGTGATAAGGAATGCTGACATAAAGAGGAGCTTACCCGTCTGTATTTCTCGTCGTTAGTCAGAAAGTTCTTATGTTTCTTGACCAATTGTTGGAGATTTTTAACTTGATTATCAAGCTCCTTCACCAACAGTTTGTCAAAACTGAAAGTTAAATAAACATAAAGCAATGGCTTATACCTACATGGATATATGTATGAGAAGTACTCGTCATGAAATGGATATTTTTTAAATCAAAGTTTTATATATATATTTACGTGACTGTCAAAGTCAACAATCAACCAAAGACTCAGGCTGGTCATAATGACAAAACAAATTTGATTAAACATGAGATATCACAATTACAAATTACAGAAAAGTATTCCCCAATTAACATTAAACATTGAAATTACCCTGGCCGTATCCATAACACAAAACTTAACAAGAACATTGAAAGTGTAAGGCGGTAAGTAATGCTACTTATAATAGGCCTGTACGGGTTTTAATGGGTGGGCGTGGCGAGCAAAAGATGTCACCAAGGGAGATCACTATAAACGCAGAAATATGACACTTTAACAATAAGTTTTCATTAAAATGGTCTATAGGTAATGCGTGTATACCTCTTGGGACACTATAATGTTACGTTAACATGCTATGAAAAGACTATTTCCAATATACCAGGAGGGGCTGTAAAATGTTTAAATATGATATCGAATAAAAATCTGAGAAAATGTCTATATTAGATAATGTAAATTATTAACTGTTCCTGTACCATACACATCCCTTAACCGTGACAGATATGTTCGTGAGTTATCTGTCCAATCCGTATAGCGATGACAACACACATACACACACAACCGGAAATGACCGCAAGTACAACATCTCATGGAAAACAATTAAATTACTTCACTCTTCATTTTTATGATTTTACGTGATGGCAACAAGGCGTTATCACCGAACTATTTCCAGTTTAGGAGTGGCAGGAAAATGCCCATTAATCACTTTCAGCCATATGCTAGATATTCGAACCTTTAACACCGGGCCCTTGCAATTGGGTAGCGAGGTTTCTGCCCCATCCCCAAAGTGGCGAAATGTTATAAATGTTACTTATATAAATCGTGACATACGTCAATATATATTTTATTTCAACACTCAGATATGTCCTACTATATACGTAGGACATAAAGACAGTATATAACAGTTATGTCTGGACCAATTAAGGTGTCCGGAGAGCGTCGACGTGCCTGGAATGACCAAACTAATTGTTATGTCGATAGCACGCCAGTTTTGCACCATATCGCATTTCCTATGGGACCAGGGTAGTAATAGTGCTCATTGACAAGTTTATTTTGATGAAAACGGGTTTGGCAGATTTTTTTATGACGTCACTCACTAATGAGTGATCACACTTATTTCTCTTTTAATAACAGAATATATCCGATCCCCGCTCTATATATCAGAAAAGCAAAAGATTCGTTCGATGCTTTGATCACGTTTTGGTACATTATTTGTTGTTAGGGGTTCATGCTAGGTTAACGTTTGGTAGTCAAAGGTTCGTGTTATTTTATATTTATTTGATAAACTTACGTCACAGACTTGCGCAGAGCATATTTCTGTATCCGTGTCAGGTTTGGTATCTTTGTCTCATTCGTTCGGCAGCAACCTGAGCACGTATCTGTTACAAGTGTTAGGATAACGTTCTGTAGGATGTCAAACAAACCGTCAAAATCTACAAAAATACAAAACAGGCCGTCAAAATCTACAATAAATACAAAACAAACCGTCAAAATCTACAACAATACAAAACAGACCGTCAGATTCTACAACAATACAAAACAGACCGTCAAAATCTACAACAAATACAAACAAACCGTCAAAATCTATAACAATACAAAACAAACCGTTAAAATCTACAACAATACAAAACAGACCGTCATTATCTACAACAATACAAAACAAACCGTCAAAATCTACAACAATACAAAACAAACCGTCGATATCTACAACAAATACAAAACAGTTAATCAAAATCTACAACGATCATAACAGTCAAAATCTACAACAATACAAAACAACCAGTCAAAATCTACAACAATACAAAACAAACCGTCAAAATCTAAAACAATACAAAACAAACCGTCACAATATACAACAATATAAAACAAACCGTCAAAATCTAAAACAATACAAAACAAACCGTCGAAATCTACAACAAATACAAAACAAACCGTCAAAATCTACAACAATACAAAAACAGACCGTCAAAATCTACAACAATACAAAACAAACCGTCAAAATCTACAACAATACAAAACAAACCGACAGAATCTACAATACAAAACAAACCGTTAAAATCTACAACAAATACAAAACAAACCGTCGAATTCTACAACAAATACAAAACAGACCGTCAAAATCTACAACAATACCAAAAAAAACGTCATTATCTAAAATAAATACAAAACAGACCGTCAAAATCTACAACAATACAAAACAAACCGTAAAAATATACAACAATACAAAACAAACCGTCAAAATCTACAATAAATACAAAACAGACCGTCAAAATCTACAACAAATACAAAACAGGCCGTCATTATCTACAATAAATACAAAACAGACCGTCAAAATCTACAACAAATACAAAACAGGCCGTCATTATCTACAATAAATACAAAACAGGCTGTCAAAATCTACAAGAAATGCAAAAACAGGTATCAAAATCCACAATTTGTATAAAAGAAGGTGTCAAAATCTCCAGCAGATATAAAACAAGACGTCACAATCTACACCAATCCCATACAGGCCGTCAAAATCTACAATAAATACAAAAACAGGCATCAAAATCCACAATTTGTATAAAAGAAGGGGTCAAAATCTACAGCAGATATAAAACAAGACGTCACAATCTACCCCAATACCATACAGGCCGTCAAAATCTACAGCAGAGATAAAACAAGACGTCACAATCTACACCAATCCCATACAGGCCGTCAAAATCTACAATAAATACAAAAACATTTATCAAAATCCACAATTTGTATAAAAGAAGGTGTCAAAATCTACAGCAAATATAAAACAAGAAGTCACAATCTACACCAATACCATACAGGCCGTCAAAATCTGCAGTAAATACAAAAACAGGTATCAAAATCCACAATTTGTATAGAAGAAGGTGTCAAAATCTACAGCAGATATACAACAAGACGTCACAATCTACACCAATACCATACTACAAAAACAGACCGTCAAAATCTACAACAATACAAAACAAACCGTCAAAATCTACAATAAATACAAAACAGACCGTCAAAATCTACAACAAATACAAAACAGGCCGTCATTATCTACAATAAATACAAAACAGGCTGTCAAAATCTACAAGAAATGTAAAAACAGGTATCAAAATCCACAATTTGTATAGAAGAAGGTGTCAAAATCTACAGCAGATATAAAATAAGACGTCACAATCTACACCAATACCATACCGGCCGTCAAAATCTACAGCAGATATAAAACAAGACGTCACAATCTACCCCAATACCATACAGGCAATACAAAACAAACCGTCAAAATCTACAATAAATACAAAACAGACCGTCAAAATCTACAACAAATACAAAACAGGCCGTCATTATCTACAAGAAATACAAAACAGGCTGTCAAAATCTACAAGAAATGCAAAAACAGGTATCAAAATCCACAATTTGTATAAAAGAAGGTGTCAAAATCTTCAGCAGATATAAAACAAAGCGTCACAATCTCAACAATACAAAACAGACCGTCAAAATCTACAACAAATACAAAACAGGCCGTCATTATCTACAAGAAATACAAAACAGGCTGTCAAAATCTACAAGAAATGTAAAAACAGGTATCAAAATCCACAATTTGTATAAAAGTAGGTGTCAAAATCTACAGCAGATATAAAATAAGACGTCACAATCTACACCAATACCATACAGGCCGTCAAAATCTGCAATAAATACAAAAACAGGTATCAAAATCCACAATTTGTATAAAAGAAGGGGTCAAAATCTACAGCAGATATAAAACAAGACGTCACAATCTACCCCAATACCATACAGACCGCCAAAATCTACAATAAATACAAAAACAGGTATCAAAATCCACAATTTGTATAAAAGAAGGGGTCAAAATCTACAGCAGATATAAAACAAGACGTCACAATCTACACCAATCCCATACAGGCCGTCAAAATCTACAATAAATACATAAACAGGTATCAAAATCCACAATTTGTATAAAAGTAGGTGTCAAAATCTACAGCAGATATAAAATAAGACGTCACAATCTACACCAATACCATACAGGCCGTCAAAATCTACAGCAGATATAAAACAAAGCGTCCACATCGATCACATACAAACAATCCGTAACAAGAGGTATTTAACAAACCGCACTACCTGATCTGCTATAATACGGATGCCACGTCAGCCGCTAGGTATTTTAGTGAGACAGCAATAAAAACCCGCTAGAGGTCGCTGGTATAGCATGTTTATAGATCTAGACTTTACGCGAAACGAAGTCGACGTTATCGTAAGAAATATTCCGGCTCTATTAATTCAAAAACTGCTTTTAACCCTAAAGTGCAGAGACTTGTTCGTGAGAGAAGACATATCATAATGGTTTTATTTTTAAGAAAAATACTTAGAGTAGTAATGTTGATACATGGAGCTGATCTGACTGGTGACAGAAATAGGCTTTTCTCCCAATTCTCACTAAATCATCTCTCGTTTTACCTGTTAAAGATCCCCAACCCCAACTTGACCACTTGGTTATGTTTTGTCTCACAGATTGCACGAATACAATTCGTCAGAGGAACAATAAGTTATGACGTCAGTTTCAACGAGAGAGGTCGATTGCAGATCAAACATGCTGGATTACTGTCTGCTGTATCGTGACTGAAATAACCACCCCATATCTTGAGGGTGGAGCAAAGAAATTCCCAACCCTCCGGTGAATATTTAGTAGTAAAACCTTCGGCGGAGTCTCGGGATAGACAACCAAAATAACCATCGCTCGGATTGCAGATTTATTTTCCACGGCTCGAGGTAGGGGAGATATTCTACTAATTAATTATCAATCACCGGGAACCAAACAGTATTCTTTATATTGGCTCTGTCTCGCACACACGAAACAGACATCTCTGTCTCACAACACACGTAACAGACATCTCTGTCTCACAACACACGTAACAGACATCTCTGTCTCACAACACACGTAACAGACATCTCTGTCTCACAACACACGTAACAGACATCTCTGTCTCACAACACACGTAACAGACATCCAGAGAAATCGAAGTCAGAGAGCTGCAGCTCCGGCAGTAGCGGACGTTTAATTCAGGAGCTAAACGGGCACTACGGAGAGGTTAATCCCGTAGAATAAAAACATCAATCTATTTAATTAGTTAGACAGATAGAAGGAGTCGGTGACTGGGGAGACATCGCCAAAAGCAACGGATTAGTGTAACAGATTCCTTGTTAGATTGTAGAGAAGTGTTGTTCGTCCCCCGCCATAAAAATAAAAATGATATCGATATAGGATTATTTAAAATCTAAGTGTCATTGATACGGCATAACCTGCATATGGTACATTTATTATTACCTCACATCTCCCCACCCACCACACTTCACCCACTCCACCCCAAACCCCACTCACGCTCATCCCCAAACCCCGATACCCCAATCTCCACTCCAACCATACCCTCCACCACACCCCCATACCTTATCCCGTCCCTTCCAGGAAATAAATAAATTACAAAGTAAGAGAAAAAAAAAATCGACGAAGGCGGATCCACTATAAACAGTGTGAGTAGTTCATTATTTTACCAGTCTCTACAGCAGAAAACTCCAACACAATGAGTTAGTTCCCTTACCTGTTTTTGTAGAACTCAGCTCCAACACAAGGAGCTAGTTCCCTTACCTGTTTTTGTAGTACTCAGCTCCAACATGAGGAGTTAGTTCCTTTACCTGTTTTTGTAGTACCCAGCTCCAACACGATGAGTTAGTTCCTTACCTGTTTTTGTAGTACCCAGCTCCAACACAAGGAGCTAGTTCCCTTTCCTGTTTTTGTAGTACCCAGCTCCAACACAAGGAGCTAGTTCCCTTTCCTGTTTTTGTAGTCCCCAGCTCCAACACGATGAGTTAGTTCCTTACCTGTTTTTGTAGTACCCAGCTCCAACATGAGGAGTTTCTTCCCTTACCTGTTTTTGTAGTACCCAGCTCCAACATGTTGAGTTAGTTCCCTTACCTGTTTTTGTAGACCTCAGCTCCAACATGAGAAGTTAGTTCCCTTACCTGTTTTTGTAGAACTCAGCACCAACACAAGGAGCTAGTTCCCTTACCTGTTTTTGTAGTACCCAGCTCCAACATGAGAAGTTAGTTCCCTTACCTGTTTTTGTAGAACCCAGCTCCAACATGAGGAGTTAGATCCCTTACCTGTTTTTGTAGAACTTAGCTCCAACATGAGGAGTTAGTACCCTTACCTGTTTTTGTAGAACTCAGCTCCAACATGAGAAGTTAGTTCCCTTACCTGTTTTTGTTGAACTCAGCTCCAACATGAGGAGTTAGTTCCTTTACCTGTTTTTGTAGTACCCAGCTCCAACATGAGGAGTTTCTTCCCTTACCTGTTTTTGTAGTACCCAGCTCCAACACGATGAGTTAGATCCTTACCTGTTTTTGTAGTACCCAGCTCCAACACGATGAGTTAGTTACCTTACCTGTTTTTGTAGTACACAGCTCCAACACGATGAGTTAGTTCCTTACCTGTTTTTGTAGTACCCAGCTCCAACATGTTGAGTTAGTTCCCTTACCTGTTTTTGTAGAACTTAGCTCCAACATGAGGAGTTAGTACCCTTACCTGTTTTTGTAGAACTCAGCTCCAACATCAGGAGTTAATTCCCTTACCTGTTTTTGTAGTACCCAGCTCCAACACAAGGAGCTAGTTCCCTTTCCTGTTTTTGTAGTCCCCAGCTCCAACACGATGAGTTAGTTCCTTGCCTGTTTTTGTAGTACCCAGCTCCAACATGAGAAGTTAGTTCCCTTACCTGTTTTTGTAGAACCCAGCTCCAACATGAGGAGTTAGTTCCCTTACCTGTTCTTGTAGAACTCAGCTCCAACATGAGGAGTTAGTTCCCTTACCTGTTTTTGTAGAACTCAGCTCCAACATGAGGAGTTAGATCCCTAACCTGTTTTTGTAGAACTTAGCTCCAACATGAGGAGTTAGTTCCCTTACCTGTTTTTGTAGAACTCAGCAGAACTCAGCTCCAACATGAGGAGTTAGATCCCTAACCTGTTTTTGTAGAACTTAGCTCCAACATGAGGAGTTAGTTCCCTTACCTGTTTTTGTAGTACCCAGCTCCAACATGAGAAGTTAGTTCCCTTACCTGTTTTTAGAGAACTCAGCTGCAACACGAGGAGTTATTTCCCTTACCTGTTTTTGTAGTACCCAGCTCCAACACAATGAGCTAGTTCCCTTACCTGTTTTTGTAGTACCCAGCTCCAACATGAGGAGTTAGTTCCCTTACCTGTTTTTGTAGAACTCAGCTCCAACATGAGGAGTTAGTTCCCTTACCTGTTTTTGTAGAACTCAGCTCCAACATGAGGAGTTAGTTCCCTTACCTGTTTTTGTAGAACTCAGCTCCAACATGAGGAGTTAGTTCCCTTACCTGTTTTTGTAGAACTCAGCTCCAACATGAGGAGTTAGTTCCCTTACCTGTTTTTGTAGAACTCAGCTCCAACATGAGGAGTTAGTTCCCTTACCTGTTTTTGTAGAACTCAGCTCCAACATGAGGAGTTAGTTCCCTTACCTGTTTTTGTAGAACTCAGCTCCAACATGAGGAGTTAGTTCCCTTACCTGTTTTTGTAGAACTCAGCTCCAACATGAGGAGTTAGTTCCCTTACCTGTTTTTGTAGAACTCAGCTCCAACATGAGGAGTTAGTTCCCTTACCTGTTTTTGTAGAACTCAGCTCCAACATGAGGAGTTAGTTCCCTTACCTGTTTTTGTAGAACTCAGCTCCAACATGAGGAGTTAGTTCCCTTACCTGTTTTTGTAGAACTCAGCTCCAACATGAGGAGTTAGTTCCCTTACCTGTTTTTGTAGAACTCAGCTCCAACATGAGGAGTTAGTTCCCTTACCTGTTTTTGTAGAACTCAGCTCCAACATGAGGAGTTAGTTCCCTTACCTGTTTTTGTAGAACTCAGCTCCAACATGAGGAGTTAGTTCCCTTACCTGTTTTTGTAGAACTCAGCTCCAACATGAGGAGTTAGTTCCCTTACCTGTTTTTGTAGAACTCAGCTCCAACATGAGGAGTTAGTTCCCTTACCTGTTTTTGTAGAACTCAGCTCCAACATGAGGAGTTAGTTCCCTTACCTGTTTTTGTAGAACTCAGCTCCAACATGAGGAGTTAGTTCCCTTACCTGTTTTTGTAGAACTCAGCTCCAACATGAGGAGTTAGTTCCCTTACCTGTTTTTGTAGAACTCAGCTCCAACATGAGGAGTTAGTTCCCTTACCTGTTTTTGTAGAACTCAGCTCCAACATGAGGAGTTAGTTCCCTTACCTGTTTTTGTAGAACTCAGCTCCAACATGAGGAGTTAGTTCCCTTACCTGTTTTTGTAGAACTCAGCTCCAACATGAGGAGTTAGTTCCCTTACCTGTTTTTGTAGAACTCAGCTCCAACATGAGGAGTTAGTTCCCTTACCTGTTTTTGTAGAACTCAGCTCCAACATGAGGAGTTAGTTCCCTTACCTGTTTTTGTAGAACTCAGCTCCAACATGAGGAGTTAGTTCCCTTACCTGTTTTTGTAGAACTCAGCTCCAACATGAGGAGTTAGTTCCCTTACCTGTTTTTGTAGAACTCAGCTCCAACATGAGGAGTTAGTTCCCTTACCTGTTTTTGTAGAACTCAGCTCCAACATGAGGAGTTAGTTCCCTTACCTGTTTTTGTAGAACTCAGCTCCAACATGAGGAGTTAGTTCCCTTACCTGTTTTTGTAGAACTCAGCTCCAACACAAGGAGTTACTTCCCTTACCTGTTGTTGTAGAACTCAGCTCCAACACAAGGAGTTACTTCCCTTACCAGTTTTTGTAGAACTCAGCTCCAACATGAGGAGCTAGTTCCCTTACCAGTTTTTGTAGTACCCAGCTCCAACATGATCGTCCGACAGAGACACACTTTGGACACGTTCTCCACACAGCTTCGTCCCTCCTCCGTCACAAAAATGGCCTCCGCAAAATTCGCAAATCTGTCGATGCTGCAACAAAAACAAGATAGTTAGCAATTTACCTAAATCGAGAAAGTTTCATCAAGCTATTTTTTCGAAACTGATGAAAATCATTTATTTGTTCAGTCGAATGAAGGCCTCCACCAGATTCGTAAACCTGTCGATGCTGCAACAAAAATAATACAGGATGTTTTTGTAGAATCAACAATGATTATGAAAAAGTAAAATAAAAAGCATAGGAAGGTAGCATAGGAAGGTAGCAGTCATATTGTTTACCGTGTATCTGGCACCAGTATAGTTTGTTCTGTACCAACGCATAACGATAGCAAAGCCCTGGAACAGCTCATCACCAATAAATTAAAAACAAACTATTGCAATGTACCAGTCGAGGAGTGATTTCCAAGTGTATTACAAGAATATTTCCACATACATCATACTCTGTATACCGGTTGTTTTTTATCCTTATGATATTGATAGCTGAAATATATATGTAGTACACTTAAAACGTCTAAAAAGCGGGAAACCGTCTTTAGTAAACGTAAACTTCCTCTACCTCACAAGATCCAATAAATCTCCGTACAGAAGTACGCTTTGACAGGACGTTTGTAGGCGTACAATAGGACGTTTTTACAGCTGTTTAAAGTTCCTACGCATTGTCAACGGTAAGCAGTGACAGATTATGAAAATACACACTATCGTACATTTACTTGTATGGCATGGTTAAAAAATAAGATATAATGGATAAAACCTAACTTTAACTTTGTCTCGTTGTATTGAGACAAATGAACCAGAAATGTCTCCGCCGAGAGATACATACACAGATATATTTCATTTCATTTCAAATCAATTTTATTGTATTCAAAAAAACACAATTGGATTAGGCACAGGCATTGCCTATAAAAGCCCTTTCCAGAGAAAATACACACATTTCATACATTCATGTATATACATATATATAGAGAGAGAGAGTATTATAGAGAAGATGTAGTATATGTTCGAATTAATAGGAGAATACTAGAACCATTTAATACATGTTCACAGAAAATAATACATGTAACTAGAATATCATAGATTTTACCATTTCAATTAATATAGTCTATTTACTTCAATTATTAATAGCCTAGTGTTTGGTTGGAGGCACTTCAAAGACACTGTCACTATACACAGTGCCATCCTTCCCAATTACACCAGAGTTATTGTTATAACATAGCAAATACAAACACATTGTAATATAATTTTTAGTATAGTTTAAGTTAAAATCTTCCAGATTTGTCAATAAACTCCAGAACACATGAGAGAATAAATGTATTTGATTCACTGCTAAGGTTCATATCACCC